GTTAGAAGTAAATTCACGTATATTATCTTATTGAGAAGATAATTATATTTTTGTTAAGAAGTAAAACACGTATAAATTATCTTATTGAAAAGATAATCATAATTCATCAGTAATAAATCTTACACATATTACCTTTCTGAAAAGAATAAAATAGTCAAATAGCCTCTACAGATATAAAAGTAAATAATTGCTGTGAACACAGTTACTATTACCATTTTAAAATAATTACATACGCATAATCTTAAAATGGTAATAATAGTCATAATTTTTATATTTAATAATAATATTAATTATAATACTATATTAAATAATAATTTAAATATAAATCTTGATTTTGAAGAAAAATAATTTTTTATATATAATATATATTTTAATTTTGATAATATATTTTAAAGTATGATATTTTTATTAAATTATCTTACATATTCAAATTAATTAAAAAAAAATAAAAAAATTTTATTAAAATAAAATTTATGATTAGCAAATAAAAAATTACTTATTAATTATAAATTATATAAAGATGTAAAATTATTTTATTAATAGTTATAAATAAGATAAAATATAAAAAGAATAATTTTAATTTATAAACTTATAATTTTAATATTTAAATAGTATTTAAATCTAAAATTAATTTATAAAATAGAAAATATATATTTATAAAAAAAAAGTAAGTATAAAATACAAATAAATTATAAATAATTAATTTAATAAAGTATATATAGTTAAATAAAATTAATTATCTTAATTTATATTTTCAAAGAGTAACTAATTATAATCTAATAATTATAAATAATATAAATAATAATATAAGTAATAATTAAAAAGAATAAATAAAATTATAAAAGAATTATTAAAAAAAATCTAATTAAAAATATTAATTATTTAAATTAATAATATAGATATATAATAATTATCTGTATAATAATATATTAAATCTAATATATTAAATATATAAATAATTATTTGTATATTCAGAATCTTTAAATAAAAATAATATAGAAGCTAATTTATTATATAAATAGTATAAAATAAAAATTTAAATTAAAAAGAGATAATCTAATCAAAATTATTATATATTTTTCATTTAAAATATAATATTTTTATTATATTTAAGTACATGATTTTTTAATGATATTTATTTTTTTCATAATATTTTTTAAATTCTCAAAAGATTTTCATATTACATTATAGAGAGAATAATTAAGCTATTTAACAAGATATTGAAATTTTTGATAATGAATTCTTTTGTCAAGAATATTTTTATCTTATATTTTTCTTTATTATTAGAGATGATAATGACTAATAATAATTAATATCAGTTATATATATCATTTGAATTATACTTTTTTAATAATAAAATATGAAATACAGAATGAAGTTTTATAATTGCAATTTATAGATAATAAAAAATATTTTTGTGATAATTTCAAAAGATTCAATGAATTTTGATGTGAGTTTTTTAATTGTTCTTTATTTATTAACTGATATTTTTATATTATGAATAAAGAGAAGAACTTTATCTTCAAGATTGAATTCTTCATATCTTCTATATTAATTTGAATATTTACTTTATCTTTCTTATACTTTAAGTAATAAATCTTTGATAATCTTGATTATGATATTCTAATATTTCATAAAGTCTTATAATACTACAATATTATTCTGAGATGACAAAATATTGATTAATATATGAGATATTTATTCACAATCTAATTCAAAAGAGATATAACTGATTAATATATTTTTATTATTATAAGTAAATTTAGCTGTAGCTAGATTTTTATCTCATCTATTTTGTTAATATGGAGTAACTTCAGCAAAGTTTTCGGATCAACTGTTGTCATCAAGGTCTGGAACAGACATAACAGTTTGTTAGTTGTAAAACGACTCATAGTTTCACCGCCAAGGCGTAACATACCAAGGGAAGTTCTCGCCGTCAATGCCTGGAACAGAACGAGAAACTTCAGCATAGCATAGTTGTTCTCAACAATAGTGGAACAGTAAAACTGTGTTGATTTTTTTATGCAGTACCAGTTTAACACGTGACAATATGAATTAACCGCGACACGTAACAAAAAATCAGCGCGTCATTGTCACGTATTTGCATACGCTGATTTTTATCATTACGCGCTAATTTTTTATTATTGTAAAAAAATTTATTCGTAAATTTATTTGATTTGGGCACACCTTTGATTGTCAGCAACACTTAGAAGTAGCAAATATCTGGATTTTACAATACCAAAAGAACATAATACCCTACATTTACTTTCAGAGTGTTGAAGCCAAATTTTGGCAATTGAAGCATTACCTCGATTTTCGTCTGAAGAACGATTCAATAATTTTACCCTGGAGCGTTGTTTATGATGATTGGTTCTGCTGTGCGACGTAGTTGTATACCGAATTCTATCAACTTAACCTTGATAAACAGATTACCGAGAGAATTAGGATACTTGATTCATCGATATTTTCAGAACGTAAAATTTCGGAATTTTTACGAAATATATCAAATAAAAAACGAACATTGGGGGACAACAAGGAAGATTCATCTGATGAAAAACACACTAGACATCATGAAGATAATGATGATATCGTGTCCGAATTGGTTTGTACCTAAATGCACATTTTTTCTTTCACTGATGCCACTTTTCGTTACAAGCTCCAGGATCACGAAGAAGAATTGAAATCTTAAATGACAAGAATATAAATTTCTCGAATGAAGAGGTTCTTGCGTGCCTTTACATTAGTTTATTAGATTTTATCAGTTACTAGAATCAATTGTATTTTGGGCGGCTAACTTTTTGTTATTTTTAATAGGTTGAAACTGAAGAAAATTTGCTATTTGATGAGTGGGTACTTTCAACAGGAAAAAACGTTTCTCGAGTTCTGGAGACACTGAGATCAAAAGTCCCGAAATCGAAAGCATTCCTATAGTAAGCACCTATTATAGCAATTCCACCGCAGTTTTTTTCTTTACAACTTACATTCTTAACAATTGCTTGCCAGTCCCACATTCTTTGGTATACTTGATTTATCTGGTGAAAATACTGAAGTTAAGGATCTTTTCACTGATGATGAATGGGCAGAAATGAAAAGTGATTTTAATGAAACGGTCATGTTTAAAGATATAAATGAAGAAGATGTACGAATTATTTGACAAGATTCAACAGGTAACAAGACTCACTTTCTTTTTATTTTGTTCGTTTGACGACTGAATTACATTTGAATTCATCAGGCTATTGAAAAGAAGTCAGGTGATCTAATGACAGATATTGAGAAGTGCATAATCGAGGTATAACATTACATGACCAAATTTTTATTTTAGAGAAACTTAACATATTCTCTATTTTACTTCGTTCTCCTTTGCAGGAAAATCCAAAGGTTAATTCGATAAGAAGATTAATTCAAGCTTAGTAAGTTCACTATTTTCATTTTTCTTTTAGGAAAATTGTCATTAATGTATTATTTCTATTACTTGAAAGTTCCTATAACTTGGAGAGACTGCAATCTTCAAAATCGGAAGCGATGTCCAAAGGTATCTTAACATATGACAAGAAGTTTATATATGAGTAAGTATATTGAATTTTTGGTTTCGTTATTTATTTATAGTAAAATATTTGATCGTTTTTAGAGGCGAGATCCAAAGTTTGGCATCTGTTATTGCGAATTCAACCAAGAATCCAACAGATAGGTCTTTGGTTGGACAAAAATGTGATTTTAGAGTTACATGTGATGGATTTGAAGCTGTTATTGGGTTACGTTCCGGAGGGTTCCGAGAAGCATGCAAATCCAAGTAGTGGAATGATAACGTCGATATGATGGTCGCAATGCGCGATGTCTTGTTGCGAGATGGCATTGAAAATAATGGAATAGATTGCAAAGATTACAAAAAATTGTATACAATTGGTATACATTCATATGGTAAGATTCTCTGGAAAATTATTTGCACTGAAAATATGGCACTTTTCAATTATTGGCTTATCTGTTTGAGATTTATATATTCAATATAGGATTTTTTTTATAATGTATACGCCATGGATTGGAAGGCAAGAGGTATATGGAGGTTAGGTTTGTTGAAAAAAACAAAACTACCACAATCAAATGCGCAATTGTTAATAATTGAAAAGTTGGTCGTAACATTGCGAGTTGAGGTTTGTTTTCTGCATCATATTTCTTCATCCACTAGGTATATATAAAATTCTTTTGACTATTTTTTTCTTTGTAGTCAACTCTCATCAACATCGAAACTATCCGAAATGATTTAGTAGTCAAAGCATCGAGATTATATAGAAGTAAAAATGGACGCACTTCTATTAATATATGCTTCCCGAAGGTATCAAAAAATATTTTGCTCATAATGATTACTTACGATATAAATTAATTGTAGTTTAATAAATTATAGCTTTTCTCGTAAATGAACACTCGTATGTTGTTTGTCACGTAAAACTATATATGTTATCTGGGTAAGCTAACTTTGAAATCTGTTTAATGTTTTGTTGTTATAATTTATTTGTGGTGAGTGAAGGATTTATGTTGTAGTTAGAGAAGATAACTAATAAAAAACGCAATTCTTTTATAGCTGCGATTCTTTCTGGATGCGTCATCACTATCAGTCATCTAAATCATACCTAAACAATATTCGATTTGTCAACAACGTGTAAGGCGGAGACGCGTTCTAAAAGACATTTATAAAGAATAAAATTATTGAATCTTTCTTCAGACGAAAATCGAGGTAATGCTTCAACTGCCAAAATTTGGCTTCTACACTCTGAAAGTAAATGTAGGTATTATGTTCTTTTGCTATTGTAAAATTCAGATATTTGCTACTTCTAAGTGTTGCTGACAATCAAAGGTGTGCCCAAATCAAATAAATTTACGAATAAATTTTTTTACGTGTCGCGTTTATTAATTCATATTGTCACGTGTCAAATGCTGTGTGTCCGAATCAAATAAATTTACGAATATATTTTATTTACGTGTCGCGTTACTGCATAAAAAAAATTTAAAAGTTTTACTGCTCCACTATTGTTGAGAACAACGAGGGTACGACTATGCTGAAGTTTCTCGTCCTGTTCCAGGCATTGGCGGCGAGAACTTCCCTTGATATGTTACCAAGGAGACGCCATAGCTTTATGTCTGTTCCAGGCCTTGGCGGTGAAGTTATGAGTCGGAGGGTATCCAAGTTATCTCTTATAAATTATTATATAATTATAATAAACTCAACTTTTTAATGTATAATATTAACTGGAGATGATTAAAAAATACAAAAATAATTTTTTATTATAAATTTTATTATAATTATATAAAGAATTTTTAAAATGTAATTATGGTTCATAGACAGAAGTTTATCTGATTGGTTAATTTTCTGCAGATCATCATAGATCGATTTTTAATTTTACAAAATTTAATTGGTCAATCAGATTCACATGTTTTATATCATAAATCATCAATTACTAATATGATATATATATGATATATAAAATTATTAGTAATAATTATTCTTTATTTTGCAAATTGAAAAAAAATTTACATATATATATACACTTATGCAAAATTTCCAAAAAATAACTAAAAAAAAACTAATAAAAGAAATTTCCATATCGTATCATCCCAAGGAGCTAAAATGCCATTAGCAGATTCCTTATCATTATCATCATCTTCAGTAATAGAATCAGGATCTTCACTTTTAACATTAATATTCAAATCAAGTTTACTTAAACTTTCTAAGAGTGATTAAACATGTATGTCAACTCCATCTTTAATATAATTTAAACAATGTAAATACTTTGATCCATTTTGGCTAAAGCATCTATCATGATATGCATGACCACATGGCAATACCTGTTCTGTTTCTTCAGTGATAATAGTGTTAGTAAAAGAATAATTAGAAGAATCATAACCAGACAAACTAGGCTTATGTAATGAATTATATCTTAAGGATAGATGACAAAGCCACATCTCCTTCATTTTCATTGCTAAAATAGAAATACTGATTTTAGTATTAACACTTTTCTCTTTCTTCTTTTTTTTTAATAGATGTTTCATAGCAACCTGCGGTGAAATTAAAAATGAAAGCTTTTTACAATTAATATAAGTATAAATATCAGAAAAATATTCAAGAAGAAAATATGTAGTTTTTTGTGTCAAAGTTTTGATATTTCAAGAAGAATATTGATAGATTGCCCAAGATGTAACATGAACAAAGTTTTCCTTAAAGCCATCATCATTAAATTGTAAGTAGTTAATATACCATGCTTCTTTAATTATTTGTTTTGTAGTAAAATATTTTTCTGTATGATATTATAAAAGATTGTGAAATATTTTTACAGATGTGTCAGAGAATTTTGATAATTCGACATTCATTATTTCTAAAATTTGATGATTATTAGATTGCCAATAAAATATATCTGAAAGAAATATTAAAGATGTTTTAATATAATTTTTTCAGTAAAATCTCTAAAAAATTATCCAAACTCGAAAACAAGATTCTATGTATGAATTAAAATCATCAGCCCAAAAAAATAAAGTATAAAGATCAAGAACTAATAGAATTGTATTATCCAATAAATCTTTAAGCGTCAAGTATTCCACATCTTTGCATGTAAACCCAAACTTTATTTCAACTATTTTTGTGATTTCTTGCCAGGTACTACGTGAGAATTCTAATAGTAAATTTATATGCTATAGCTTTGGTTTTTGAGGAAGTTTTTTCTTTACACCAAATATGTATTTGTACATTTCAGAAAAGAATGGATAGTACTGAAAAAGTATTAATTCTCGACTATTCAGCAAAATGTGTAGAGAACCTATCATTGGAAGGAATGATAAAACTTTGTTAGTAATTCCAGAAGAGCTATCATGAACAAGATACCATGATATAGCTGTTCTCAAGTATATTTGACCAGGCCAATTAGTGATAATTGGAATGATATTATTATTTTCAATATATCTATTTATTGTTAGAATAGATGAAATAATATTAATAGCATTAATATAATCTTCTATTATATGAAGATTACTCTCAAACAGATCCATGAGTATAGCATTCTTTATTGCTCTTGCATTTCTTTTTTCTTTTAAACGAATATCATAACTATGGACCGTCAATTTCTTGAGCTTTATTTTATCATTCACAAAATGAAATCCCTAATATTGATTATGAGTGAGTGAATATACTGATATAAAACAATTCTCAATTTCAGTTTTAAGTAATTGAGTATTAACTAATGTGAGATTGTGAATATCTAGTCTTGGAATCACCAGTTGAGTCTTGATTGGATTAAGTAAAATAGTAACAAAATGTATTGGATTAGATATTTTGATTGTAATCAGCATTTTTATAGTGTGAATATTATGATAGTCATTAATATTTAAAGTAACATGCTATTAGAATTATCCTCAAAATTTTTTTCTACAGTTATTGGGTACTTTTCAAATACAGAATCCTTATGGTAAGCAATTGAACGAGATGTCATTGTCAAGCCCAATATTGCTAAGATATCAATCATCAAATCAGGCATTTTAGTAGAATTTAAATACATTCCTAAATCTCTTTTTACATTATTAACAAATTTATTTCTAATGCCACAAATAAAATAACATAAAAATACTAATTGCTTTGATACTTTTTCCATTGTATTTTGGCTTTTTTTCATTGGATTAGTTGATAAATATAATTCATTGAAAAAAGACTTCAACTATTAATTTTTTGATTCTATAATTACACAAAATTCATTGAATTTTCAAATTAGTGACAACCTATTATGCTCTCTCTCATAAAGGATATTTGTAATTATCTCTACAACCTGTGAAAATGACAAAATAATAGTTTCGTTAGAAATTACTGACTCAAAAGAAGAACATAAATCTAATGTATGCTATTGAAATTCAGAAGATTTGTTAATAATGATTGCGTTATAACAAACTATGCATATAATATCATTTTCTTTAATATAACCAGGAAGTGTTTTATTATTTACTCTCTGAGATAAAACTAGTCTAGTAATAGTTTGTCAAGTTGTAGATTTTCTCTTGCAAATTTGAATAGCACACGGTCCCTCAAGTTTCTTTTCTTTGCCCATTTCAAAAAGTTATTACTAAGTGAACATCTCTTAAATAAGATCTTATTAGAGATTATTTTTAAAGATAATATTCTGACACTTTAACGAAGAGACCTATGTAAAAATTAGTGTTCTTTTAGTATGTAACACTTAATTTCTTAAAAAGTACTCTAAAGCATATAAATAAGTTACCTGAGTAATTGATTTATGTTAGCCAATCAGATAAACTTCTGTCTATGAAGTTATAATGCAGAAAGTCTAAAGATATCAAGTAACTGCATCACCATTGAAATTATATATGCATGTATTATGTAATAAATTAACCTTTGGGGATAAGAGGGTAATTATCATACTATATAGGTAATATTACACGTGATTTTTTTCATGATTAAATGCTATAATTAAATATTTATCATATGATTAATGCTTGGTGAAAGCCAAAAAAAATTATTCTTTTAAGACTTTTTTACAAACAATTTAATTATCCTTGGAGCAGCTTAGAATAAATATCATCTTCCATTATATATGAAGTAAATGCATCTTTATTTGTAATTCAGAGAGTGTCCTGGTTTTTTCATCATTAGGATCTGAGAATTTTTTTAAGGGATGATTTATTCTCTTAATTTATTCATTTTTTAAATTGCTTTTTCTTTATTAATTTAAAATTTATTTTGATTTATTAATAATGAATTTTTTATAAATAATGCTCAAGTGCAACAAATGTACCAGATACTACTTGGCTACTATCAAAAAGTAGTG